ACAGCATATTAAAAAGCAGACACATTGCTTTACCAACAAAGGTCCGTCTAGTCAAAGCTATGGCTTTTTCCAATTGTCATGTATGCATGGAAGAGTTGGACTATAAAGAAAGCTGAGCACTGAAGAGTTGATGCTTTTGAACTGTGGTGTTAGAGAAGACTCTTGAGAGTCCCTTGGACAGCAAGGAAATCCAACCGGTCCATCCTAAAGGAAATCAGTCCTGAATATTCATTGGAAGGACTGATGCTGGAGCTGAAACTCCAACATTCTGGCCACCTGATGCGAAGAACTGACTCATTGGAAAAGAGCCTGATGCTGGGAAAGATTGAAGGCGAGAGGAGAAGGTGGTGATAGAGGATGAGATGGTTGAATGGCATCACCAATGCGATGGACATGAGTTTGAGTAAACTCCAGGAGTTGGTGATGGACAGGGAAGCCTGGCATGCTGTAGTCCATGGGGTCACAAAGAGTCCGACACGACTAAGTGACTGAATTGAACTGAAAGGAGATACAGGAGGAGTGAGTTTTTTCTTTTACATTGAGCCGTTTTGACTAACCCACTCCAGTACTCTTGCCTGGAAAATACCATGGATGGAGGAGCCTGGGAGGCTGCAGTCCATGGGGTTGCAAAGAGTCGCACATGACTAAGCGACTTCACTTTCACTTTCAGTCAACCCCTTAGGCCAAATGCAGCCTGCCATCTGTTTTTGGTTTATTTTAAATAAATTATATTTTTTGAATAGATATTATAAATACAAGCTAGACCATTCAAAAGGTAAAAATGAATCTGCCTTTGAAAGTAATTCCCCCTCTTTCCACTCCTCAGTTTTCCAGTTCCCCTCCTTAGATGCAGTCAGTATTACTAGTGGATTCTTGTTGTCTTCCAGAAGTGTTAAGGTTCTGTGAATATAAGTGTCTGTATTGCTAAGTCCAAGGTCATGAAGATTTATCCCTGTGTTTTCTTCTAATAGTTTTATAGTTTAAGCTCTTATGTTCAGGTCTTTGATCCACTTTGAGTTGACTTTTCTATATGGTGTGAAGTAAGGGTCCAACTTCATTCTTTTGCATGTGAATATCCAGTTGCACCACTGTTGAAAAGACTATATTTTTTCCTCAGTGAGTGGTCTTGGCACCCTTGTCAAAAATCAACTGACCATAGATGTATGGATTTATTTCTGGGTTTTCAGTTCTGTTTTTCTCTCTATGTCTATCTTTATGTTAGTAACACACAGTCTTGATTACTGTTGCTTTATATTAATAGTAAGTTTTGAAACCAGAAATATGTCCTCCAACTTTGTTCTTTTTCATAATTATTATGGCTAGGCAGAATCCTTTGCAATTTTTTATGAACTTTAGGATCAGCTTATCCATTTTCATAAAAAAGGCAGTTGAAATTTTGACAGGTATTGCATTGAAGTTTATAGACAAATTTGGGGAGTTTTGACATCTTAACAATAGTAAGTCTTCCAATCCATGAACACAGGATGTCTTTCCATTTATTTAGGTCTTTAATTTTTTTTCAGTGATGTTTTGTAGTTTTTAGCATACAAGTCTTGCACTTCTTTTGTTAAATTTACTCCTAAGTGTTTTATCCTTTTTGATGCTTTTGTGAACAGAATTGTTTTCTTAATTTCAGTTTCATTTTTGGACTGTTGATTGTTAAGTATATGAGTTTTGTATATTGACTGCAACTTTGCTGAACTTGTTTATTGGGTCTAATAGATTTTTGGGTGCCAGATGCCTGATTCTTGATTCATGGCTGCTCATGGTATAGACCACACTTCTAGCCTTCCCTGCAGCTTGGTATGACTCAAGGATTAAGTTCTGGCCATCGACTGTGAATGCAAGTGATGTGTGCAACTCCGTGTTGTGCTGGCAGCTTCTCCTTTCCTACTCCCTTTTGACTGGAATGGATTCAGCCATCGTGATCTGTCTTCAACGATCTGACAGCGGTTTTTGTATTGGGTTGGCCAGAAAGTTCATTTGGGTTTTTCATAACACCTTGCAGAAAAACCTGAATGAACTTTTGGGCCAACCCAACAGATAGTTTTATGGAACACAGGCACCTTCATTCACTTGTGTATTGTCTATGACTACTTTCATGCTATAACAGCAGTGTTTGTTGTATAAAGACCTTAAGGCCTGCACAGCCTAAAATATTAACTGTCTGGCCCATTACTGAGAAAAGTTTGCGGATGCTTGGCTTAGAGGACCTCTCTATGGTAGGATTTTATGATCCCGTCTTTCTGGAATTGGACTTATAGTCACTGGTATTTGAAGCATCATTGTTTGATTTTTGTTGTTTAGTCGTTAAGTCGTGTCTGATTTTATCGCGACCCTGTGGACTGTTATCTGCCAGGCTCCTCTGTCCATAGAATTTTGCAGGCAGGAATACTGGAGTGGGTTGCCATTTCCTTCTCCAAGGGATCTTTCTGACCCAGGGATCAAATCCACGTCTCCTGCTTGGCAGGCGGATTCTTTACCACTGAGCCACCAGGGAAGCCCGTCTTTGATTTTATTTATGTGAATTTCTGTCATAGGCTGCAGCTTGCTTACTCTCTCCAGCAAGAGCTCTCCTGGTAGCAAGAGCAGCTCATGAATTGTCATGATCTTTCTGATCCTGAAGAGTAATCTGGGTTTTATTAGACTGCTCATTCCCCTCTCCCCCTCTCTCTTTCCTATAATTTGCCTTCCTGTTCTTGAATTCTGTGCTTAGAAGTTTTTTTTGCTTCCTCTGCAGCTAGCTTCTGCTCTCCTCCTGTTTATTCTCTTTCTCTCTTTTTAACAATAGTAAGGTTTTTTTTGGTGGTGGTGGGGTGGGGTTGGTGACCAGGGATTGAACCTGGGCTCAGGGCAATGAAAGCACCAAGTCCTAACCACTGGAAATTGAAAGTCGCTGTCGTGTTTGACTCTTTGCAACCCCATGGACTATATAGTCCATGGAATTCTCCAGGCCAGAATACTGGAGTGGGTAGCCTTTCCCTTCTCCAGGGGATCTTCCCAACCCAGGAATTGAGCCAGGGTTTCCTGCATTGCAGGTGGATTCTTTACCGAGCTGTCAGGGAAGCCTCCCTAACCACTGGACCGCCAGAGAATTCCCCCATTCATTCTTTTTCAGGCTTATATCTCATCACTCATTTGATTAGAAATGGTCTCTTTTTCAAAAGTGAAGGATATATTTTTTTTTAAAAATTGAGTATAATTTACATGCAAAAAATACTCTAATATTTATTAAAGTGTCCAGTTTGATGAATTTTGACAACGTTTGTACCTGTATAGCCACTACTCAAAACAAGGTAGAGAACATTCCATCTTGTGGCTTTTCCCAGTCAATTCCCACCTCTACTTCCCAGGGGCAACCACTTGTTCTGATTTCATCACAGACTAATTTTGCCTGTTCTTGGACGACACATAATCAAAACCATATATTAGAAAGTGCTCTTTTGTGTCTGATTTTTTTTCACTCAGCATAGCATCATGATTTTGAGATGTATCCTTGGTGCCTGTTTGAAAATAAGATTATTCCTTTTTTTTAATTTTTAAATCACTGAGTGGTATTCTAGTATATGGATAGAGCACAGATTGGTTATGATAAACCTTTGAGTTTTTCCATCTCAAGCACAGTACTTTTTTTTTAAGCACAGTACTTTTTAACTAGAATTTTATTCATGGCCTTTTCCAGCTTTAAGGCACTATCATCTCGACATTGTTAATGGAAAGACTGAAGGTAGGAGAAGGGGATGACAGAGGATGAGATGGTTGGAATGGTCTCACTGACTCGATGGACATGAGTTTGAGCAAGCTTCCGGGGTTGGCGATGGACAGGGAAGCCTGGCGTGCTGCAGTCCATGGGGTTGTGAAGAGTTGACAGGACTGAGCGACTGAACCGAACAATTGTCAATGGTATAATGCAATGTTCCAAAAACTTGAATTCCTTTCTTTTTCAGAAGTCAGAGGTTCTGGCTGTCAATCCTGGCTGCCAACTAGAGTCACCCAGGAAGCCTGTAAAGCCCAACAATCAAGCCACACCTGACACCGATGCAGTGAAGCTCTTTGGAAGTGGGTGGGGCCCAGGGTCCCGAGCTTTAAAGCCCCCCTGTGAATGCGCTGTGTGGCCGGCTGGGGGAGCTCTTGCATGGAGTGGGCGGAAGGCTTGGAAAGCTCGCTCATCCCATACGCTTCCTGCAGGTAAGAGCTCCGAGCTCTTCTGAAATCCGGTGTTTTTTCTCCTCTAGAATTTGAAGGCATTCAGACTTCATCTTCTCTCTAATCGGTCTTGTTTCTGTGGGGGCTTTTCTTTTCCTTCCTGAGGTTTTGCCAAATTCCTCGTTACAAGCTTCCCTTATCTCCGTTACATTCTCTTTTTTCCTCGCTGCCCCCATCCCCACACCTCCACCCCCAATCTCACCTCCCTCTCCTTCCCTCCATCCTCCACTCCTGACGCCCAACATTTTCCCCCCTTGAATTTGGTCTGGATCCTCAAGCCTTCTAGAAGAGTGCATCGTAAAGCCTAGGACCTCTTCAGGTGCGTTCTCCTTTTTGTGCGTTTTTCTCTTCAGAAGAGATCATAGCTAAATGGAAAAAAAAAAAAAAGAAGAGATCATAGCTGTTTTGCTCTTTTGCTCATAAATCTACGTTTTGAAATAGGTTATTTTATTATTAAGAAAAAAATTTCTGCGAAGCCTTTGATACCTTCTCCTCTTGACGGAAAAGAAAGTTCCTGGCAAGAAAATGGAAAATGCACCAATTCCGAGTAAAGTGTAAAAATAATTATAGGCTTCCAGGTGCTCGGTGAAAACCACAGGTTCTAGATCAAAAACAGTTGCCCTCTCCTTGGCAGCCAGGACAATTTGGCGGAATTCTGAAGCACTAATGTCCTTCAGCTTGTAGGCTGTTAAACTGCCCGCCTCTTCTCACAGGTGGGACTCCTGGCTTATCTTTCCAGGTCCTGTTCGGTCTTTGGCAGCGTCTTGTCGCTGCCCCGCTGCCGTGACCCTCACGTCCCCATGCTCTCGTGTCTTCTGGGCTCTGCGGCGTGGCCCTGCGTGCAGCTCCGGAGCGGCCGCTGGGACGCCCTTCCCCGCGGCAGCTGTGTCTGCACCGGAGCGGGCAGCGCCTCCAGGCGTGAGTACCCTCCTGGCTGGGGGTCGGCGCAGTGAGTTTCCAGGGGCAGGTAACAGGGGCAGGAGGACTGGGGAGATCCGGTGCTGGGCTCGGGCGGGCGGTGGGCACCGCGGCCCCAGGTGCTGGCGCTGAGGGAGGGCGGGGGTCTGTGGAGATTTGTTGCTGAAATGTTACCTTGTGTTGATTTAGGTGGTCCAGCTGCAGTATGTAAGAGGGGCTATTTTCCCTCTTTAATGACTGCCCACGTCTACTCTTTTATCTGTGACTTCTTCCTTAGATTGTAGCAAGGCTGCAGAAAGTAAAATGGATGAGACAGATGTCGGAGGGTTTTGAAAACAGTGATAAAACTGAGTATCTTGCTGGCTTTTTATTGTAAAACCTTGCACTGGCAATCCTCAACAGTATTAGTGGTAAAATGCCCCCTTCCCCAAATCTTTTGTTCCAGTTGCCTTGGTTATTATTGAATTTCAAAGCACAAAATTTCACTGTGTGCTTCAAATTAGCATATTTTTATTATTTATCCTTTTTAGTCTACCTGGAAGCTCATTTGGAGAAATCTCAATTTGTATAATAGGAAACCTTTCCCTGACGCAGTGCACACTCACACACACTTAATCTACATAGCTTTCTTTAGGGAAGTAGGAACCTCGAGGTATGAAATCCTCCAAGCCCACTTTGGGTGTATTGTGTGTCTCCAGCTGTACCGCATATTCCTGCATTTAATTAGTGAATATGAAATAAACAATGATGGCACAGTGGTTGTAAAAATTATCACATAGAACTGATATAATTTCAACTCTGTCTTTTATATGATCACTTAAAGTTTTTACTTTGTGTTTAAAATTTTAAATGGCAAAATTGAGTGTAAACTGCAAGGTGTGTGTGTATTCTTTGGTCAGTGCAAATTTTCATACATAAAATACTTGATTATTTTTAAATTTTTTTTTATTTTTAAATTTTGAAGTTACTCTTTTTAATAGTTATTTTAAAACTGAAGAGCCAAGAAAAGTGATTATTACTGAAAACAATTTTGCGTATAGAGAAGGGGGTGTTAAAACGATCCACCTGGGGTATGAAAAGTGGGCTTCCCAGGTGGCTCAGTGGTAAAGAATCTGCCTGTAATGCAGGAGACCTGGCGTTCGATCCCTGGGTTGGGAAGATCCCTTGGAGAAGGAAGTGGCTTCTCACTCCAGTATTCTTACCTGGAAAATTTCATTGACAGAGGAGTCTGGTGGGCTACAGTCCACAGGGTGGGAAAGAGCTGGACTTGACCGCGGGACTGAGCACGCACAGGGTGTGAAATGGAGCAGTGACCGCCGAGGCAGGAGTCGTCCCAGGAGGCAGGCCTGTGGCTCCGGGTCTTCTGTTCTGACCTTGCCTCTTGGATGGCTGAGTTTCACCTTTGAGTCTTTTCTGAGGAAGCCTTCTGAGAACAATATTCCTTGTTTTGCTTGTTCAGAACTGTTTGGACTAAGTATAAATGCCTTGGTAATGTTTGCTTCTTCCTGCATTTTGAAGCCTTACTGGCTCAGGATATGGACAAGGCTTCTTGACCTTCCCTGATCGATAGAATTTGACTAGAGGCCAGACAAGAAATTCAGGCAAGGCTTTACTGGGACCCCTACTGAAGCAGGGATGCTGGGCAAGCGAGAACAAACAGGTTCCCTTGCTTCTTGAGCAGGCACAAGCTCTCTCTCCATATGGGATGAGGGTAGGGGTGTGTCCAGGGCTTGGGCTGGAGGGGTGGTTTAGCTGATTTGCCCACCCCTTTGGTGGTGCAGGGGGTATGTGCAGTACCCTGCTTTTGGTCCCAACACCCTGTTTTTGCTCCAAGCTCTTCAAAAGTGGCAGTTGGGTATTTTGATCTCTCTTGTCCAGAATTTGCCCCAACTGTGCATACCCAGAGTTATTTTTGGTCCCGTACAGTTTCTTTGTATTTCGTTCCTGGAGACGAGGTGTGTCCCAGTGCAAGCGTTGCAGCAAAAGGGCCCCAGGCCCCAGCTTATCTCAATGCCCCCTGAGAGACTGCCTTATTCTTAAGGGGTAAAGGGCTGAAGGTCTCATCTTCTGAAACTGCTTCTTGCTGGACAGGGGCAGCTGACCCTAGCCTACCCAAGAGGTATAGAAGTTTCTTGCTGATTCTTCCAAGGACCCGTAGGGACCTGGGCCACTCTCTGCTGGAATGGGTTGAACTCGTTGAGCCATCATGAGCCTTACTTACAACTATTGGAGCCTAAAAGACCCAAACTTAAACAAAAGGTTAATCAAACAAGGACCAGAAAGGAGAAAAACAACAGTAGCCTTTAAAGGGCCTCGGAAGGGAAGGAGCCAGGTTAACTTTGGGAGGGCTTCCTTAACTGTTGACCAGACAGGGGAGGAGGTGTCACCCCTGCCAAGAAGCCATTCTGCTTGGGTATATATTTTTGTTAATCTCAGGGTTAAAGTTGAACAAGTTTCTCTATTTTTAGAAGAGAGGGTCTGGACCTGTTGGTTCCAGATTTCCTTCTTGGCCCAAAAAGTCTTAGTCACAGGTTTACAACACTAGGGAAGACATCGGAGTACTGTTGTAAACCTGTGACCAAGTCTATGACTGAGAAGAAAAGGGTTATAAGAAAATGAAAACCTCCTGCCAAAGAGTTTTTTTTATATCTTGTAGGAGGCAAGAGAACAAACCGGAGAACTGATTTTCAGTTTCCCTGTCCATTCTGAATAGCAAGCACTGGTGGTTGATTGTCTGCTGAAGCCAGGTGACTTGTTGAATTTTTTTCAACAGTGGCTTCTGCCTGGAACGAGGTCTTGACATATGTGCAACGAGCAGTACTAGCAATGGCCATACCCCTCCCTGTTCTGCCAATAGATACTCGAAGGTCAATTTCCTTTTGGTGCCCACGGCAGCGAATGACTGTTACTCATTGAGGATTTCGAGTCACGTCTTTGAGATGTCAAATCTTAGCCCCGTATATTTAATTAACTTCTTTCTGACTAGGCTGGGTCTTTGTTGCCATGCTCAGGCTTCCTCTAGTTGCGGTGAGTGGGGCTTCTCTCCAGTCGCAGAGGGCGGGCTTCTTCTGTTGTGGAGCATTGGCTATAGGCTAGCAGGCTCAGTAGCTGCAGCACATAAGCTTAGTTGCCCCATGGCAATGTAGAATCTTCCTGAACCGGGGATTGAACCACCGTCCCCTACATTGGTAGGTGGATTCTTAGCCACTGGATCACTAGGGAGGTCCCTTAGCCCCATACTTTACAGGGAAATTTTTTCTGCATTTAAAAGTCCTTTTTCTTTCCAGATAGCTGCATGGGCATGTAAAACAAGAAAGGCATATTTTGAGTTTGTACATATATTTATGTACCAGGTTTCCCTGGTGGCTTAATGGTAAAGAATCTGCTGGCAGTTTAGGAGACTGGGGTTCAATCCCTGGGTCAAGAAGATCCCCTGGAAAAGGGAATGACTGTCCACTCCGGTTTTCTTGCCTGGAGAATCCCATGGACAGAGGAGCCTGGTGGGCTACAATCCACAGGGTCACAGAGAGTCCGATACAACTTAGCAACTAAGCACACACGTATATTTATAATTTTTCCTTTTTCTAAGGTTAAGGCTCAAGTTAGGACCATTAGCTCACCTCTGGGCTGAAGTGTTAGGTGGCAAAGGTTTTGCTTCTCTAGCAGTATGAGCTCTCACAATAGCATATCCTGCCCTCCTGCCAACTGGCAAAAGTAGGGGTATTGCCTGGAGACTGACTGGGCATTAAGAGGCTATGTTTTAAGAATTTATTTATGAGAGTTTGCAAACCGTTTTTTGTTTTTTGCTCCCAGGGTGCTGTCTGGGTACTTATAGGGTACTTTTGCTTATAGAGTACTGTCTCTTGTTCGGATAAGAGACTTCTGGCTTACGGCTAATTGTTACTGCTTGGCATTTAGAGCCTTCCCAGGGGTCCTTTTGTCCCAAACTGTAGGGTTTGCTGTGTGGAGAATATGGCTGGGAACAGGCCCTTGTTCTTCCAGCTGATTTGTCTTAGAATCAAGAGAAGGTTGCTTGGGGTCTCCTAATCGTGATATGGCCCCGGGGGGCCGAGACGGTCTCTCCCCAGTTGTGGAGGAGGACACTCGGGCACCACTGGAAAGCCGTGTGTGATCAGATGCTGCTCAGACTGGCAAGTGAGAGGCCTAGTGAAGTGATGGGCTTCCCGTCCACAGCAGTCACTGTACAGGTTTTGGAGGAAGGAGGCCCAGTGTGAGAGATCAGGCACGGTAAGTGGCTCCTGTGTCAGTTAAAAATTGACTTTCTTGCCTACCCTGTCAAGGACCACCCAGGACTCCTCAGTGGAGATAGACGTCTCGTTGAGGGGAGCCGCCAGAACCTCAGGCCACCTGAGTCATCCAGCGTGGCCATCTCAGGAGTGGGAGCCCCCCTTACCTTTCAGGACTGGGGACAGTCCCACTTGCAGTCTCCCTGTTCGTTTGCAGACTGGCCATGGACCAGGGGTTTCTTTTCAGCACTTTTGGGCCCAATGGCTGGTCAACTTACATTTGAAGCATCCCTCTTACTGGTTTTAACCATCCTCCAGGTGGATGGTTAAATTTCCCTGGTCCCCTTGGGTTGTCCTGTGGTTGCAGGGCATGGCTGATGGCTATGGCTGCAAGTTTGGCTTGAGCCTGGTCTTCCTGTTTTCCTGCCAGGTTCTCTCTTCCTCCTCAGCTTGATCTCGATTATTAAATACCCTAAAGGCCACCTCTAGGAATGGGAACATTGGGGTTTGTAGGCCTAATTGTAACTTTTGGAGTTTGTCCCTAATATTAGAGGTGAACTGGCTGGTAAAATGTTGTCCCAGCAAGGAGTGACCCTCAGGACTGGATGGATCAATGTTAGGAAATTTTCTAAAAGCCTCTACAAACCATCCTTGAAAGAGGGCTGGATTTTCTTTTTCTTCTTGGGTCAGTCCTTTAACTATTCATAGTTAATTGGCTTTTTGATTTGCTTTCTCATTCCTTCTGATACACACTGGATTGCGGGCTTCTTGGCTTCTATTCCCTTCCAGGAATTATAATTCCAGTGGGGCTCCTGAGTTGGGACTGCACCTCCACTCACAACAAAATGCTCGGGTTGGTCCCTGGCAAGTTGGTCCCCAGGCCCCTGGGCTGTTGTCCATACTTCTCTGATTTTCTTCAGGGGTACAGCAAGTAGGTAGGACTACTTGGACATCCTCCCAAGTTAAATCAAAGGCCAGAGTTTGGGCCTAAAATCTTTCAACAAACTTACTAGAGTCTTGAGAAAATTGGCCCAGTCTCTGTCTGCATTGGGTAAATTGGTTAAAAAGAAGGAGATGTGTACTCTGGTTGTCCCTTCACCATTTGCCACTTTCCTGAGAAGGCACACTTTTCCCGATCCCGGGTGATAGAAAGTTCCACTAGGACTCATCCCAGAGGGACTAGTCTCTCTCCTGGGGTAGCAGAGACCATAAAGGGACATAGGAGGTGGTGTGTGGGATCAGTCAGAAGGATCTGAAGGAACAGGTGCCTCTTTGAAAAGCAGGGGAGACTTGATTTCCTCCCTGAAAGTTGGGAAAGGTTAAACGAGGATCATCAGAAATGTTGGGAGTGTTTTTTAATTCCTCAGACTTGAATACAGGAGCTGCATAGGGCAGGGTTTTGGTAAAGAACCATGAAGGCTTGAACATAGGGAACGTCAGTCCATTTTCCCATCTTGTGATGGTAAAAATCCAATTGCAAGATAGTATCGTAATTTAGAGACCCGTTTCCGGCCTTTTTTCTCTATTACCGCCCCCCCCCCCCCCATATAAAGTCCAGGCATTGTTACAGTAGGATTTAAGTTCTTCCCTTTCCAGCCCTCTGTTTTAAAAAATTTCCATTTTTTTTAGGGATACATTCCTGAGGTGTTTCTTCTCACTTAGAAGAGGGTCCTCCTGTGTTGAGTAACCTGCAGTTGAGCGCACTCCTAGAAATGAAGTCCAGTATCCCAGAGACACTGACTAGGAGGCTTTTGTCAGAAGGGGGTTGGAGTGTCCTCCAAATTCCCTTCTTACCTAATGGGATTTGGGGCATCCCCTGTTCTCCTGTCACCTATCCAGATGTCTCTGGGCCTCAGTCCCTCCTGCCGGGGGTGTGGGGGGGGTGGTGTCCTCTGGTAGGGGATGTTTGAACCAGTGTGTTGCCATGACTCTTCCTAAGGGGGATTCTGTTGCCTAGAATGCTTATGTCCTGTAACAATTTTCCTGATGTTGGGTCGGTTGCATTCGTCAAGACTGAACATCTATAAAGCCTAGGATGTGGGCTTCTTGGAGGTGGCCAGCCCCACAGATAGTCTGTAACAAGATACGGGCTGCCAAGGCCTGGAGCGAAGGGGTGCAAAAAGGAACTCCTGGAGGAATTAAAGTTGGACAGAAAGTGCCACAGGGGTCAGGACCTGCGGGCCTGGAGGTGGCAGTATTCCCACAGGGGATATTTTTGGACATACAGTAAGGTGAGAGACTTGGCAGCAGAAGAACACAGAATTCCTTCCCCTGGCTGGTGGCTGCAGCAAAAGTGGGGAGAGCCTGATGTTTCCATCTGACACAGGCAACAGCCAGTTTGGACAGTTTCCCATACAATTTAACATACCAAGCCAATTAGTTTAGGATCTCGCTTTGGGATGCTCCAGGGGCCCTCTGAAGCACCCCAGTGCTAGCTGGAGGTCAAAAGAACTTTAATTAGAATTTGATATTTGAAAAGTCTGTCAAAAATTTCAAAAAGTTTCAAAAAACCCAGTCAGAATCATAGGTCACTATGAAACAATTATTCCTTGAGCTAAGGTGAAAAAAAAGATTTCAAAAGTAAATGTAGATCACTTAAAGGCACAGAAATTCACGCACTCTGTTATCAAAAGCAGCATTCCAGGGAAAGTTGGTTCTCTTACGAGAAAGAGGCCAAATCCAGTGCTGCTTCCGCCTATCTTTAAAAAAATCCATTTACCTAATTAAGTTTAATCCAACCTTAGAAAATCCTGACCACGTAGAAATTTCTTTTCTCTGTGTTCCTCTTCCACAAACCTTCTGCACATTTCTATAGCCAGACTTTGTTTCTTATTCTTTTCATTTAGAAATAATCAGTTTCAGGACAAACCCACCCTTTTTCCTTCAACAAAATGTATTTCCATTCCTTATACCTTCTTTTCTAAAAACACACATCCTTTCTTTAAGCAACCAGGAACTGTCTTATATGCTGGCATTCTATAGATTGGTAGAGAACATCTCCAGGTGGCACCAAACTTCTTGCAAGAAGTCAAAAGAGGTACCTTTAGGCCTGTTCAGCCATTAATGTTCCCAATATTTTATTTGAAATGGCCTCTAGAGTCAATGAATTCCTATCATGTAACTTAATTTAGTTTTAAGTCACCAAAGTTTGGAGGTACTGTTTTCCTTTATTTTTGGCCATGCTGGGTCTTCATTGCTGTGATTGCTCTTCTCGAGTTGTGGTTAGTGGGGGCTACTGTCTAGTTGGTGGTGCACGGGCTTCTCACTGCCGTGGTCTGTCTTGTTGCAGAACATGGGCTCTAGGGCGCCCAGGCCTCTGTAGCTGCAGCCCCTGGGCTCTAGGGCACAGGCTCAATAGCTGTGGCACACGGACTTAGTTGCTCCGCGGCATGTGGGATCCTCTCAGATCAGGGATTGAACCCATGTCTCCTGCATTGGCAGGCGGATTCTGTACCACTGAGCCACCAGGGAATCCCCGGAGGGACTACTTTAGATGGATATTTTCAAAACATAATTATTCCTAAAGAGTTTACCCAAAAGTTCTTATCACAGTTACATTGACTTAAAAATTTGATCATAAAAGTTTATTCTCCCTGTTGACAAATTGCATAACAAAACCAATATGTACTTATTGACTTTCAGTGATCCCAGGTACAATGAAAGTGTTATACTTAATTTTAAAAAGTTATTTACCTATTTAGTTTTGGCTGCACTGGGTCTTCACTGCTGTGTGCAGGCTTTCTCTAGTTGCAGTGGGTGAAGCTACACCCTAGTTGCGATGTAGGCTTCTCACTGCAGTGGCTTCTCTTGCTGTGGAGCACGGCCTCTAGGGCTTGCAGGCTTCAGCAGTGGTGGTTCACAGGCTCAGTAGCTATGGCTCACGGGCTTAGCTGCTCCGTGTCATGTGGGATCTTCCCGGACCAAGGATCGAACCTGTGTCTCCTGCATTGTCAGGAACATTGTTAACCACTGGAGCACCAGGAAAGTCCTATACTTAATCTTGATGAATCTAAAGTCAGGTCTGTGTTAATTAAACCCACAAGCTTAAACCAGTCAAGCCAACTTCTATAGAACCAGAGATCTAGTTATCTCACTTGAATTTATTTAGCTGCAACACGCAGCATGTGGGATCTTAGTTCCCCAGTCTGACATGAACCCACACTCCCTGTGTTGGAAGCACAGAATCTTAGCCACTGGACCTCCAGGCAAGTCCCAGAGCTTGCACTTTTAAAATAAAATACCTATTTGTGTATTTGGCTGCACTGAGTTTTAGTTGCGGCACATAGGATCTTTGTTTGATCTTCACTGTGGCGTGTGGAATCCAGTTCCCTGACCAGGTATCGAACCTGGGCCCCCTGCATTGGGAGTGTGGAGTCTTAGCCTCTGGACCACCAGGGAAGTCTGCCCTCTTGTTTGAATTTAAAATGCTCCCCCACCTTTTTTTGCTTCAGTCTGGAGGTTCATGTATACATGAACCAGGCAGTTACTGAGAGCCCAGGCAGAATAGTTACATTGAAAAAGCAGAGGAGGGAAAAATGTAAGCTCCTCCTCTTCTTCTCTAAAATCCCAAGTAACCCAAGGTTGGAATCTCCGGCAAAGTGGGTTGCATTTGTATTTCAAGATTTAAATGTTCTGGCATGCCCACAATTTTGGCAGAGGCTGGCAGGAGCAGTTGGACAGAAAAAATGACGTGAAACAAAGATGCCAATGACAAAATCTTAAAGACGCAAACAAGCAGCTTTCATGATAAAGGGGATGGGAGTTGGAGGTGTGAGGATCAAGGGAGGAGGGACAGAAAAGACTGCAAAAGAGAAAGAGACAGCAGGAAAATAAAGGTGAGACTCCTGGGATGATAGGACTTCCAGCCACCACATGATGTGAGGTTTGAACCTCTATCACTCTCATAAGCCTCCCGCCAGGGAGAGCCTGCTCCCACCTCTGTTCATCACCTGTGCAGGTGAGCTTGCCGGCCAGAGGGAGCGGGTCTGACAGGTTGAGAGGAGTGATGCTGTAGGTGCCTGATGTCCACTGTCAAGGAGGGAGAAGACAGAAGTAGAGCGATTTCAGGAAAGGGGCAAGGACAAGGGGGAAGGGAATGCATTGTCTGAACGAGGGTACTGAAACCCCCAGGGCCCAGGAAGGCAGGCTTAGCAAAGGTGATGACTTGGGAATAAGAGGTTCAAGTGGCCACTTGTCACCCACGGGAAAACTGCATCCAGTGGTTCTGGAGGTGCCCTGATCTCCCCAGAAGGGGACAGCTGTCCCACTTTGGGCTCCGTAAATCTGATGCCAGCCAGGGTTCTTGACCTTCCCCAGTCAATAGAAATTGACTACAGGCCAGACAAGAAATTCAGGCAAGGCTTTACTGGGGACCCTGCCGCAGCACTGGGCTGAGGGGTGAGAACAGCAGGCTCCTTCGCTTGCTTGCTCTCTCTGAAGCGGGGCGAGCTTGTTCTTTATGTGGAGTGGAGGTGTGTCCAGGGGTCAGGCTGGAGGGGTGGCTTAGGTGGTTTGCCCACCCCTTAGGCGGTGGTGTGTGCAGGGGGCCATGTGCAAGTACCCTGCTTTTGCTCCCAACACCTTGTTTTTGCTCCAGGCTCTTCAGAAGTGGCAGTTGGGTTTTTTGGTCTCTCTCTCTCTCCTTTTTTTTTGGTCCAGAATTTGCCCCAGCTGCTCATGCATACAGTTCTTTTTAGTCCCATATAATTTCTTTGCATTTTGTTGCTGGAGGAGAGCTGTTGTCCAGGTGCATGCCCTGCAGCAAAAGGTCCCAGCCTGTCTCGGCTCCGCTGTGCTCCAACACCAAATTCAGCTGCAGGGTCGTGTGAGCCCAGATGTGGTCTGTTTGCCTGTCGGTTCCAAGGGTTCTTATCTTTGACCTCCAGTAACGGCCAGCATGGGACGTCTTCTCTGTTTGTGTCCTCTTTCCCTGGGACCCGGCCTGTCCAGGTGTCCCATCGTGTGTTTTCTCATTGCCGAAAGCAGCCAAGATTCTGTTTTCAAGTCTCTTTGGATTTTCTTCCCTAGGGATCTCTCTCTCTCTCTTTCTCTGTCTTGCCCATTTGCCGTGCCTGTTATTTCCTTTTAAGCCTGTGTAAGTATTTCCATTTTATCTTGCTCCCTCTTCAAAGTCCAGTTTTCCAAACCCTCTTCTGAGTTTCTCAGTCTGTGTTTCCTGAGATACTTTCGTCTTCTCTTCTGAGCTACTTTAATTTTCTTTCTTTCACTTGTTTCCTGGGTTTTGCCTGCTTATGTTTTGCTCACTATTTATGCAATGCTCCTGCATCTTTTTAGTCTCATCCTTGGGCTGTGGTTTCATGGAGGAGTTGTTTGTTTTTTTAAACTGAAGATGAAATATCTGTTTGAATTGTTTTTCACCTGCTTTGTGGTAACAATTTCCTAATAAGTGTTTTTCAGTGTTCACATTTGTCCTGTTTTTTTTTCTCCTTTTTTTTTTTCCCTTCTAGTATCTTTGCATAGTTTCCTCTTTGATTATTCATCTTTGTCTGAGCTGAGCTTTTCAGGTAGAGCTGGGACCCTTTTGCAGGCCAGCAGGAATTTTCCTAATGGCCTGGGGTTATTATAATCTTTACTTTTCCCCAGGTGGTAAAACAGGCAGCCACAGGGATATTCACAATGTGAAACCATGGGTATTGGAAAAAAAACACCAAAGTAAGAATCTTCAAAATTTCCTCCTTAAAAGCAATGAGAAAACAGGCTAAAGTGGTCAGAATTAACTTTCCCAAACTCTGGAAATTTACCAAAGACTTGCAGTGATTCAGGAAGTGTTTATGCAAGAAAAATGGCTGAATCTTAGTAAGAACAGTGAACTTTTTAGTGTTATTGTTTGTTTTTATTGTGTGAAATCCATGTAACATAAAATCTGACAGCTTAAACATTTTAAACTTCACAGTCTAGTAGTATTACACACGTTCACACTGTTGTGCAACCATTGTCACAATTCATCACCGTATTTCTTTTCATCTTGTAAAACTGAAGCTCTATACTTCTTAAATAACAGCTCCCTAGTCTTCACTCTTCCCGCTCCAGAATCACCATTACAGTTTCTGTCTTTATGAATTTGACTACTTTGAGTACCTTATACAAGTGAAATCATAGAGTATTTGTCTTTTTTAACTGGCTCATTTCACTTATCAAAATGCTGTCAAGGTTTACCCGTGTTGTAACATTTTGGAGAATTTACTTTTCTTTTTAAGGCTGTATAATATTCCATTGTATGTGTCTACAGCATTTTGCTTATCCATTCATCAGTTGTGGACACTTAGTTGCTTCTGTGTTTTAGCAGTTGTGAGTAATGCTGCTATAAACATGGGTGTACAAAGATCTCTTTGAGCCCTTGCTTCACATTCTCCAAGATATATACCATGAGGGCAGGGAGGGAGCTGTTCCATCAGGGTGGGAGGACTTCACAGGCCTCTTGCAAATGGAATTCTGCCTCTTCAAGAATGCAGTGTGAAGTCCCCAGCATCTATTGGCAATACAAGGATTTCATGTTTTTTTTTAGTAATATAGTAAGCATATGTATGTAAGTTTTTAGAATTGGTACTAAAAATTGAGGGGTTTCCCACATTGCACAGTGGTAAAGAATCCACCTGCCAATGCAGGAAACACAAGAGACACATATTTGATCCCTGGGTTGGGAATATCCCCTGGAGTAGAAAATAGCAACTCGACTCAGGTATTCTTGCCTGAAGAATCCCATGAACAGAGGAGCCTGGCAGGCTACAATCTATGGGGTCGCACAGAGTCAGATACAAATGAGCAACTAACACTTTCACTTCACTTTTTTATTTATAGTAACTATGTTTCTGATTTTTTTTGAGAAACTGCCCATACAAGGCTCAAGGTTTCCAGTTTATCCACCTCTTCATCAACATTTGCTGTTTTTTGGATAGTGGCCATCCTAATGGGTATAAGATACTATCTCACTTTGGTTTTGATTTGTATTTCCTTACTGATTGAGTCATGTTAAGCATCTCTTTCATGTGCCTATTGGCCATTTGTTTATTTTCATTGGAGGAATGTCCAAATCTTTTGCCCATTTTTGAAGTGGGTTGTTTTTTGGTTGAGTTTTAGAAATTCTGTATTTGCACCATGGAATATTACTCAGCCATTAAAAAGAATTCATTTGAATCAGTTCTAATGAGATGGATGAAACTGGAGCCCATTATACAGAGCGAAGTAAGCCAGAAAGATAAAGACCATTACAGTATACTAACACATATATATGGAATTTAGAAAGATGGTAACGATAACCCTATATGCAAAACAGAAAAAGAGACTCCGATGTATAGAACAGACTTGTGGACTCTGGGAGAAGGCGAGGGTGGGATGTTTCAAGAGAACAGCATCGAAACACGTATATTATCTAGGGTGAAACAGATCACCAGCCCAGGTTGGGTGCATGAGACAAGTACTCGGGCCTGGTGCACTGGGAAGACCCAGAGGGATCGGGTGGAGAGGGAGGTGGGAGGGGGGACCAGGATGGGGAATACATGTAAATCCATGGCTAATTCATTTCAATGTATGACAAAACCCACTGCAATGATGTAAAGTAATTAGCCTCCAACTAATAAAAATAAATGAAAAAAAAAAAAAGAAAGAAATTCTGTATTTGTTCTACATGTTAAGCCCTTAGATACATGACTTACAAATATTTTCTCCCAGCCTTTTAACTCTGTGGATAATATCTTTTGATGTACAAAATTTTAAAAATCTTCATTAAATCTAATTTTCTTTATTATCTGCTCCTTTGGTGTCATATCCAGGAAATCATTGCTAAATTCAGTGTTGTGAAACTCTTGTCCAATTTTTTCCCTAAGAGTTTTAATTCAGGTCTTATATTTAAGTTTTTGATCCATTTTGAGTTAAAAGTTTTGTATGTGGTGTGAGATAAGGGCCCAGTTTCATTCTTTTGCATGAGGATACTCAGTTTCTTGAGCATCATTTGTTGAAAAGACTGTCCTTTTCTCGTTGAATGGTCTTGGCACTATTACCAAAAATCATTTGACCATATAGGTGAGGGTTTATTTCTGGGCTATTTCTATTCTATTCCATTAGTCTATATGTCTGTCTTTATGTTAAAACCACACTGTTTTTATTATGGTGGCTTTGTAGTAAGTTTTGAAATTGACTATCCGGTTTTTCCTTTTTCAGACTGTTTTGGCTATTCAGGGCCCCTTCAGTTTCTATACAAATTTTAAAATGAGTTTTTCTATTTCTGAAAATAAAAATCATTGAAATTTTGATTGAGATTGCATTGGATCTGTAGGTTGTTTGGGTAGCATTGACATTTTAAATAATGATGTCTTCCAATTCATGAACATGAGGTATATTACCATTTGTTTCTGTTGTCTTTTATTTCTTTCAGTGATGTTTTGTACTTTTCATTGTACGAGTCTTTAGCACCTTGGTTAAGCTAACTGCAGAGTGTTTCGTTCTTTTTGGTGCTATTATAAATGGACTTGTTTTTGCAATTTCTTTTTCAGATAGTTCATTGTTTGTGTGAACCTTTTCAGATAGTTGGTTCATTTGGATCACCACAGAGCATTGAGTTCCCTGTATTACACCGTAGGTTCTCATTAGTTACCTGTTTTATACATACTGTCAATAGTGTGTATATGTCCAGCCCAATCTCCCAGTTCATCCTACCCTTTCTTCCTCCCTTGGCATCCGTATGTTTGATCTCTACCTCTGTGTCTCTATTTCTGCTTTACAAATAAGCTCATCTGTACCATTTTTCTAGATTCCACATATATGCATTAATATATGATATGTTTTTTCTTTCTGGCTTACCTCACTGTGTATGACAGTCTCTAGATCCATCCACATCTCTCCAAATGACACTATTTTCATTCCTTTTTATGGTTGAGTAATATTCCATTGTATGTATGTACCCATGTTTATCCATTCCTCTGTTGATGGATATTTAGGTTGCTTCCATGTCCTGGCTACTGTAAATAGTGAACATTGGGCATCTTTTTGATGTATGTATCTTTTTGAATTAT